GCTGATAAGTTAAAATATAATTATACTAATTTTTATTATTAAATTATATAATTAATATAATTAAACAGAACAGATTCTTATGCATCAGCACAGGTGCTGAATATAATTATCTGGCACAAACTGTGCAATGTTTGTATTAATGCTGTTAAAAAAATTGCTTAGTACCATATATCAACCAAAATATATTATATCATTATTTTATTCATTACTCTAACCCTTCCACGACACTTTAGTTGGACACATAGTTTTAGGTATTATGTAATTATTAAAGTAATTAAGAAGTTTATTAGTAAAAATAATTATGATTAGATAAAAATAATTATGGATTATGATTAAAATGACTAAATAGTTTAATTAAAATAAAAATAATAATAAATTTTAAAATATGATTAAAATGAAAAAAACAAATTATGTAAGACAGACGAAAATAGTAGAGTGGACAAATTAGGTGAGACGAATGAAGTATTTGGTATGAGTTTCAGTCGAAAATATGTGATGGAATAGTTTGATATTAATTTCTTCTAAAACAAAACACCTTTTATGGTAATCTCCAATCCGCGCTAAATTGAAGGATTTCGCGTCAATTTTCTCCGGCTGACGTCAAATTTGATGCCAAAATTGGCGTTGATATATTGTTGCACTCTAGCAACACACCAATTTTGGTGTTGTATTATTATTATTATTATTATTATTATTATTATATATTGATCATTTTATTTTTTTTAAAGTTAATTTGAAGTATAAATACAAAAAAGTGGTTTAAAATAATACTTTCTTTCAGTCCACTCACAAATATACATATTTTTATTTTGCATTGTCCAATTACAAATTTAATCATTTAAAAAATACTTTATTTTTTTTTTACAAATATCTCTATTTTACTATCACATCTTTACTTTTATATCAAAAATCAATGATAAAATTGTCTTTATACGACTTTTGATTATTAACCACAATTAAAATACTACACTCTAGGTCTGTCCCACTTAATTTGTCACATTTTTCTATTTTCGTTCATCCTACATAATTTGTCATTTTTTTCAAATATAATTATACACTTTAATCACATTTTAAAATTCATAATTTATAATTTTTTAAAAAATTTTAATTAGACTATTTAGTATCTTAATCTTAATTTATAATTATTTTCACTAATACACTTTTTATTTACGTAAACTACATAATATTTAAAATTCTGTGCCTACGGTAAGTAAGAAAAATTAGCTGGGACGGAAGAGTATTTTTTTTAAACACCTCAGCAATAGTAAATGATTACTTATAAATTGGATGGAGGTGGTATATGAAATGGAATATTGGAAGAAAATTCTTTCTTAGTAAAATTAGAAAGATGGATTGAAATAAAAATATTATAGTAATTAAATTTTTAGAATTAAAATTGCATAGATACACTTTGTAAATTGGAGATGACCTCAAGATTAGCCATTAACTTCAATGTAATAAAAACTCCTAAAATTGGATCTTCCCATTCTTTGCTGATTGCTAACGACAACGACCACTTTACGCTCGTTGCCAATTGTGATGACACGGGCGTGTCGATTGGACTCTGAACATTATAAAATTATTGTCATCAAATACACGTATATATATATATTATTACACTGTAAAATTGGTTACAACCTTAATTCACACACATATGGTACACTTTTTACCAGTAAGTATTATAAACAAATGTCTTCAGAAATTAAAGGTGCACGTAGATTAGGACAAACCACATAAGATCACAAGGCAGATATGGAAGTCAAGTTGGAAGAGAAAAGGGATCGAACTGACTTCCCACGCCACGTCCAAATCTGTCTTATCTGTCAGCAAGAATGGGATTATCAATAAAACCAAAAAAAACATCGTATATATGCAAATTGCAATAAGCAGACAAATAGTGATAAAAAAAAGAATGTCGTGTTGCATAATAATCCATGCCAGCAAAGCTTCTTGCCCTTGGCCACGTAAATATTCTTTGTTTTAGCTTTTGGAACTAACGATCCGTTTTGATTAACTTTAAAAATAAGCATAAGTCAAAAGTAAAAATAAAATTAGAGACGGTTCGAATTCTGTGTTTGGATGAATCATTACAAAAACATACAATTTTTTATGAAAAACAGTTTGGATGTAAATGCCCTGCTTAAATTGACTTTTGCTGGAATTTTTGGTGTATGCTTCTAAAAAACTACTTTGTACATGTTTGTATTGACTCATGTTCAAAAGCAGAAGCAGATTTTGAGGCGAAAAATGCTTTTTAACCGTTTATTTCAGATGTTATCCTCGATGTGTTTGTGAAAAAAATATTTTTCAGTCTCAAACTTTTGAACAGAAGCCGATACAAATAGGTACAAAGTAAATTTTTTAGAAGTAGAAGCCAAAAAAAAGCTCTTGCCAAAAGCTAATCGAAACGAGGTCTAAATCCACAATTTACTTTTGTATTGTAATTGGATTCGAGGGTTAATAACTTATTTCAGAAAGCTTAAAGTTGGGAGAACCCTATTTGTCAAGTAAAGGCTTCTTTGTCTGTTGTGAATATTAATAATATATAATTATTTAAATAGGGTTTTTTAAACTCATGATCGAGGTGATGGCGATGGAGATGATGAAATAAAGAGCAGTGATGACTAGACAAAAAACTACGTTCGAAGGTTCAGACAACCAAAACTTTTTATCTCCTACATGGATGGGGCTGCTCCATATCTGATGTTTTTTGGTGGTGATTCGAGGTTGCAGATCATATCTTGGATCAACTTTGAGTTAGGACAAATCATATATATGTATATATATATATATTTGGATCTGCAGCAGTATATACAGAATCTCCATAAATCCATTGAGTTATATATATTCAAAATGCCAAAGTGATGTTGTCTTTTTTAGGTGACGTTTTTCATTCAACCTACCATGCTGTGATCTATATTTTTGTATAAATATTATGTAGAATTTGGATCAATTAATTATATACATGGTACATGCACAAGGTTGTTACGGCGAGGATTTAGGCATTGCGCCATCGGACTGCCATATCGCCTAGGCGTCATGGCGCCCGAAATGGCGACAATACGGCGATACGGCGACCTGCTTAGTGCTTATTATTAGTTTCTAATATTTAATTATATAATATAAAATTATAACATCAAATCATTAGATTTCAAATAAAATATCAAAATACCAAAATACTAAGCATAACCATCAAAACACTAAATTATCAATATGTCAAAATATGAAAGTTTCAAAACACCAAGAGAAAAGTCCCTCAATTTCCCAAATTTCCATTAATCTTCAGTATTCATATCATCTTCATCGTTTTCTTTATCCTCATTTGTCAAACGTCTGTCAGAAGGGCCATGGCGACGGTCATACACTATGGGGGGACCTGAGGATTCACCAACACCTCTACTACGAAAATTGGAATTATTGAGGTTACTTGAAGCACCTACGGCTTCATCAACATGATGCCACTCAAGATCTCCATCTTCGTGAACCAAATTTCGAGAATCATCAACCCATTCATTGTTCCATTGAAATTCTTCAAGAATTAAGGGATTAAAATTGTTTCCTTCTTCCCGCCGCTTTTGAAAGCGATGTGCAATCTTCCGATTCTATTGAAATACACCAAATCATTTAGTCTTTGGTGCTCTAGTCTATTTCTTTTCTTGGTATGAATCTAGAAATAAAACTTTATATCAAAATTTGAAAATTATTACTAAAATATTAATATAAGTAAATTTCGAACAAATTTACTTACAAATTCAAATGTGCTCCAATTGCGCTCACAACGGGCAAAAGAGCAACATAAACTAATAGTTCGTATGGAAAGTGATCGAAGTTCTTCGTTGTCACCACTATATGCATCCCACCAATCAACTAAAATATATTTATAAAAAAAAAAAATTATAGTCAATATGTGAAATTAAGTTTCATATAAAATAAAAATATATATATGTTAAAAAAACTTACGAGGACTCTTTTGCATTTGGTGCTTGATTGTCAATTGACGGCCAAAGCTTCCTCGCATTTTATACATATTTCTATTTTGAATTATTTAATTACAACATAAATATTTAAAAAATACACCATTTTTTCTTACAAATATTTTTACTTTACCATTTGACCTCAAAAAGCAATGACAAAATTATTACATTTATTTTAACTATCAACTACAATTAAAATATTATTATTTTTTAAATTCAAAGTAATATCGTATTATAATATAAAATTAACTTCTTTTTTGTTTTAATAGTGAAAAATGGATATGGAAGGAGTATATGAATATGTACTTTTCTTATATATCTTAAAATATATTTTAATGTGACAAGTATACAGTACCTATGAAAATTTTATTGTGTTATTCTTCATTTCTACTTCTAACTCGCTATGTCATGGGCCTTTCCAACCATTGTAAGCCTAATTAATATGTGTTGTAAGAAGAAAATTGATCCATTCTACACGAGAAGTTGTGTTAAACAGAAATTATTATGATGAACACAATTATTATGCAACCATCCTAGAAGTAGAATCAATGCAATTATCTTGCAAAGTTACTTCATGTTACAATTTGTAACTCATAAACCAGTCTCACAGTGTTCTATAACACTTCAAACATTAAGATGGAACACAGAGATCAAAAGGAAAATTGCATTGCCAAGTTATACCCGACGAGCAATCGATGCTGACCTGAATCAGCAATTCCACTCAAGGGACTTCAAGAAGACAACCAACAGAAAAGAAACCTCAGGTGTCTCGCTAAGAAAGAACCCGATTATGTTAAAATTTGCCAAAGTAAACCAAGGCAACCTAATCCAATTATGCCTGAAAATCGGATTATGAAGGCCAAGATTACGAAAGACCAAAAGTGTTCCCCTAACACACTAGTAACCCATTATACAAAAATCATTATATAGAGGTCACCAAAATCTATCGATCACATCAGCACGTTATTTCCTAAACCTAAACCATAAATTTCAGATCTTAGATAGCTCCATGTTCATGCAACATAATTGAGTATAGGAATCAAACTCCCTTATTTTGAAACACCAAAATCCCATGGATGAATATTAGTCTAACAACTTGACTGCTTAGCCAAGCCATTATTAAACAATGTCATATTCTCCATAATTCATCTCTCGGTGAAGCATCACCTCTCCAGCAGTTATAAATGATGAAAGACTAAAACACGGGCAAAAGATGCAAAATTTCGAAGGGACTCAGGAAACGAAAGGTTTTATGAACCACCATTTCAACTGTTGTGAACAAACGCAATTCCCTTTTCAATTGAAGATTTCAACTCCGGCTTGAGAGCTTCTAGTCCTTGTTTCTCATAGTCGGATAGCGGACCCAGACCTAGAACTTCCTCCACACCATTCTTCCCAAGTCTCACCTGTTAAGCACAACAAAGTTAATAGCAGCTCTGCATAGCATACTCAAGAATATAATACCCTTTGATTGCATAATCAATATAAATATTTATGGGTATGCGTAGTTATGTCCCTAAAAACAGGTAAAACACCGGGCGGAAAGCTGCTTAAGTTTACCAATGTGCATAGCCACATCAGCTATTTTAATTCTCAATGCAGCTTACACATTACATAACCTCATGTAGACTGGAGTAAACATAACAATGGAACAGTTTAAGTTTTAAAATTTTAAAACAAGCATGATGATGAAAAAGTTGGATTTAAATGTCAAAATGCTCCATCATCATATATACAAATGGGAAAATGATCGAGTTATTCTCAAAATGCTCCATCATCAACTGACCTTGGATGCAAAGAACGGTAACTCAGTAACTGTGGATTGCACAAAAGAACATTCAACAACATCCGGGACCCCATTAAGACCCTTCAAGCAAGCATCTGCAAATATAGCCCCAGCATACCTGCAGGGATAATGTGAGGTGAGTCACTTAAATCAACTTGCCACCATGAAATCATGATTAGAACATGAATTGTGCAGTACTTCCAATGTTAAAAACTAACAATATATAATTCACTACACAATCACACAAAATGCGTTATCAGATAACTCCAGTCAACTATTCAAGTTTAACGAATCAAGTAGCACAGCACTTACGCCATTGAAAGTGTAGCTGATCCCTTTCCAGCTTTGGCTTCAACAACTTCAGTTCCACCATCTTGTGTCCTTTTAGTAAGGGCTTTAATCTCTTCATCCGACAGATTTGCGCTAGGTGCGGCCTATCAGTTGAAACACAGTTGTTACATATAACAGATGCAGTAACAAACATCACCTTCATAAAAAAAAACATCACAATGTAAAGAAAGTGCTAGGGTAAAAAAAATCAGTACTTGTGAAAATAAGGGAAGAATGGTAATTCCGGCGTGACCACCAACAACTGGCACATTGACATCTGCAGAACTCATATAGAGATAAAACTCAAATCTCTCGTGAATATAAGATACAAAAAGTGAAACCTTATAAGCGTACCTGCAACATTAACTCCAGCCTTGCCTGCGTAGAAGGTTTTGGCCCTTACCACATCAAGGGTGGTCACACCAAACAGTTTCTTCTCATCATACACCTTTTTGTTCTTGAACACCTCGGCGGCAATAGGAACAGTTGAATTAACAGGGTTGCTGATCATATTGACAAGAGCCTGAAATTTTAGGTGAACCCAGTCAACATCCTCAGTGGAAAACTTATCCTAGCAGTAAGTGCACTCGCAGCCTAAAATTGATGAGAAGAAATAGGGAAAAATATGTATCATTACATTGGGGCAATACTTAGCAATGCCCTCACAAAGTGATTTAACAATGCCAGCGTTAATCTTAAAGAGGTCATCTCTAGTCATGCCCGGCTTTCTAGGTACACCTGCAGGAATAATAACTATATCTGCACCTTCAAGAGCATGTCCTAGCTGCTCGTCTCCTGCATAGCCTTTCACCTATACATAACCACAAATAGAAGTTCAAAGATTGTTAGGGGAGGTGATGAAATGTCCAGGGAGAAGAAAATGCATACAAGGATCCAATTGGAACTCTACCAGAATCGATTAAGCAAAACAGAGAAATCCAGAAATGAAGACATAGTTACAGATCCCTATTTGAACCTCAAATCACGAATTTCGCTTTCAATGTTCTGGAGCAAGACAAGAAATAACTTGGCTACTTTGTATTCTATTTCAATAGAGCCACGAAACAACAAACCAAACAGTTCACTTAAGACTAGTTGAGCAGAGAACTAAAACCATGAAATTGAACCAGAAAAGCAGATCCGAAACCCTAGAACAGAGCAGAACAGAAACAAACGATATCAAATTACAAATCTCCAACAGAAAAAGAGAAACGCACAACAAACAAACGCGCGAACACACACACCAGAGCGATACCTCAGATCTAGTGTTGATGTGGCTGACATCGGCAGCGACTCCAGGGGTTCCGGCGATATCGTAGAGGGAAAGAGTGGAGACAAGGGGGTTCAGCTTTAAAAGCAGAGAGAGCGGCTGGCCGATCCCGCCAGCTGCCCCTAAAACGGCGACCTTCCGCTCCGGGGCGTGGTCGGACAAGAAACTCCGCCGGGACAGAAACGTAGAAGCGCGAGCCCTCCTGTTCAGCACAGATCTCAACATGGCAGCCTTCATCGGAGAGCGTATGAAGCGTCGGAAGCAGAGAGAGCAGATGGATGGATTGATATGGAGCCGATGAGCAGTTGAAGACGCAGTGAATGGTGCGCACTGGCTGCCCTGCCTCGCACTGATATGCTATGGTAATACGGGTACGGGTACGGTTTCGGGTCGGGTAATCGGATCCTCGGAGCCTCCGCCCACCGCGCCGCTGTCACTCTCGTTCTCTTAAATGCATTTATTTGTGCTCCCTTTTCTTCCTTTTTAACTTTTTTTTGTTTTTTTTCCCTTTCGTTCGTAAGGACCACCCAAATTCCATTCTTTTCAGAATTATCATTGTGTATATAAATTAATAAATAAATATTTATTTATTTATTTTATAATTACAATATATTAGAAACTGCCAATGAGCTTAGCTACCAAGCTTACCATCGGCATCGGGCATGTCAATCTTGCAGCTTTATTTTATTTATACATATTTTTTAATATTTTTATCTTTTTCCAAATTAATATCTATATAATTCTTATTCTCGTTTCAAAGTGTTACCCATGAAATATTCGTAGGACTTACATAAACTATGAAAAAGAATCACAACATCATCAACAAAAGACTTGAATAATACGATGAAATAAAGTCCGTCTTAGAAATTAAGTATAATTATTTATTTTTTTTAAAAAAAAATTGCAAAATATTTGAAATAAATTAAAATATATTTAAAACGGATAAAGTATAATATATATGCATATACTAATACAATATATATAATTATATACACTTTATTAACTCAAAGAGAGTAAATAATTAAATAAAAAAAATATCAATTTTATATTACTGATATCATTTATTGAACTTAAAATATATATGTATATATATTTACGAAATACTATTATCTTTTTGTCTTTGTGACGGAACAAAGTAGAATAATTTTGGTGGATCTTAAGAGTTCTATATATCCTACTTATGATCACTATCATGACTGTGTTTAATTATCTAGGGATTTTGTTTTCCTTCTAAATTTTTGTTTGAATATATATAATTATTTGAAGTAAAAAAAAATAAAAATAAAATTAAACAATCATTAAAATTATGTCATAAATAATCGAAATTAATAACCAAACAAAGCCACTAAAAGCATCTCCAATGGGGCTGCATAAAAAAAATAAAAATTGTCATTGTGAGTGTATTAATGTAAAAAACAGTAGCAATTGTATAATAAAAAAAAATAGAAGTAATTTTACGGTGATATAGTTATTTATATAAATAAAACTATTGTATTGAAACTAATAAAATATATATAATAAAATATGTCAAAAATATTCTTTTTTGAGTAAAACATAGAATTGTAAATTAAAATAAAACTAAAAATAATATAACAATTATATTTTTAGAGTTAAAACTCTATAAATAAAGTATTTAGAATAAAAGCCCTAAGGAATAAAAGCAACACATAGTGCAAATTAAAGCCCAACCTTAACAACTTCACCAACCAGCAGTTGCACGCCAACCCTTTAATCCCAAGCTATCATTATTAAGTACCAAAAAAAAAAAAAAATTATCATTATTAACCAACAATACTATCTATAGAAAACACCTATTCAATTTCAACCCCATCCATAAATCCCAAATAGCCCCTACTGCCACCGTGGCCGGCTGCCGGAAATGACGACGACCCGGCAGCACCAAAGAATGCGTCTCCTCTTCCGGCTATCATTGGTGTCTGTCCTCACGGTCGGCGCATCTAGAGTCGCACTCGACTACTTGAGGAACAACGACGTTGGCATTAAGTTGATGCCGTCCGAGTACACAATCCGCGTGCCGGTTGAAGTATCTGAGGAGGAGACAATCGAAGACGGATGCGATGTTTTTAAAGGCCGATGGGTTTGGGAAAACGAGAGCTATCCTCTTTACGAGGAAGAGAATTGCCCGTTTCTCGTTAAGCAAACAACATGTTTGAGGAATGGCCGACGTGATTCTTTCTACCGGCATTGGCGATGGCAGCCCGACGGGTGCGACTTGCCGAGGTAATTGTTTGTGTTGGGACCAGTGGCGGAGTCAGAATGTTGAGATTGATAATTTTGTTTAAGTTTGTTAGGCCATCTGCATAAAAGAAACCCTTCAAAAGTTTCTCTCAATTTCCATTCCATACTTACTTTTTTATTTCACAATCACTTTCTTCTACCTCACTAAAAAAAAAAATATATTTTTTAATTTATACCAAAATAATTAATAATATTATTAAATTTAAATAAAATTATATCAATATATATCATTTTGTAAAAAATGAAATTTTATACAATACAAAAATATAAATAAATAATTAAATAAATGATATTTAAAAAAAAAAGAAAAAAAAAGTTTTATTAGATTAGTTTACCCATCACCTCTTCTGCGCCAATTACTTTCCACTTCATAATTTTTATTCTTTTTTAATTGTAAATGATGACGTGGGGGTTTCTCTGCAGCAGAGAAATGGCCGATACTAATACTCTTAAGAGATATTGTCAATGTTTATATTTGGTTGTTTTGGAAAATTAGAATTTTCAAACATTGGAATAGGAGATTAAGGATAGATACTATTGAAGATTTAATTGATAGTAAAATATAGTACTTCATCCATCCGAGAAAATTATATAATTTTGATTAGACATAGAGAATTAAAATAATAATACGTTAATATTAAAATAGAATAGGAAAAAAAAAAAGTAGAAAATTATGAAAAAAAAAAAATATTTAAAATTTGATAAAAAAGATAGGAAAGTAAATAAAAAATAGGTATATACATTACGAGTATTTGCATTTAATCTCAAATTATTTTAGTTATGGTTGAAAATCTTTACTAGTGTTGGAATATAATTAAAATTTATAAATATGATTAAAAAAATTGATTAATATGTATTGTATGAAATTTTAGGTTTAATGGGATAAAGTTGATGGAGATGCTGAGGGACAAAAGATTAATGTTTGTCGGGGATTCAGTGCAACGAGGGATGTTCGAGTCGATGGTGTGTTTGGTACATTCTTCCATTCCTTCTAGTGTGAAGACATCTCTTCGAAGAATACCTCCTCGAAAAGTTTTCAAAATAGAGGTACGTGCATCTTGGTGTTTCTAAAACTACCTTAAAATTAAAATGTATGTTTAAAGAAACGATCATCTTACTTTAAATTAAAATATAGATGATATATGTGCATATCTAATTTATTATGACTTAGGTTAATTTTTTTTCAACTAATCTAGGAATTCAATGCATCGATCGAGTACTATTGGGCTCCCTTCATAATCGAATCTATATCCGACCACGCGACAAATCATACTGTACATAAGCGTTTGGTGAGACTCAATTCGGTGGCGAAGCATAGCCAAGAGTGGGGAGGAGTTGATATCTTGATATTTGAGAGCTATATTTGGTGGATGTACAAGCCAACCATAAATGTAACGTATGATTATTAATTCATATATATATATATATTATTTCAAGTAGAAGTTTTGAATGAACCTAATTATAAGTTTTTGGAGAGTTGGTTTAATTGTTGTATATGATTTTCAAATGTTTTTTTTTAGATATGGATCCCTCGACAAAATCGAAGAAATCAACGTAACGGCTGCATATAGAGTGGCACTTCAGACATGGGCTAACTGGCTCGATTCTACAATGAATCCATCTACTCAAAAAATCTTCTTCGTAACGATGTCTCCAACACATTTGTGGTTAGTATAAAATTCAGTTAGATTCAATCAAAAGTTGTTTAGAATAATGTTCCGTAACGGATGATTTAGAAATGTGTAATGAATTTATGATCGTAAAATTATTAGTTCAAACTCCCGACAACGTCATAAAAAAAATATTTAGAATAAATTTTACAAATAAGTTTTAATCAACATAAATAAGAATTTTTTTTTCTATTAATTTAAACTTGAGCATATTATGTTTACTTGGTTTTTTTTTTTTTTTAAGTTTAAATAATGGGTTGGATTGATATATATTAAAAAATAATAGTAAATTTTTATAAGGAATATTGTAGTAAAAAAATTGTAAATTTTAAAGTGAATGTGTTTGTTCAATTTTTAGAGTCAATGTAATTTTAGGTTTCAATATTAAAAATATACGTTTTTGTTATAAATTGTTATTTTGTACTATATATTTAAAATATAAATAAAATCTGTTTTGAAGATTTTAAAACTTACTTTAATAAGAATATATTAAATATAGATATGATTTTGAAAATACGAAATTTTATATAAAATAAATAAATAAAATATATGTATTCATATGTCATTAATATAAGCTAGTTTATTTAATATATAAATTTTTTAAATACATATATTGATAAAAAAAAATTATTTAATTTGATGACTTTTTTAACAGAGTTCACAGAATATTTGTATATACAGTAGAAAAAAAATAATCTAAAAGAATCTCAACGAAGTAAAAAAATAAAAAATTACAGCGGTGATGGTTAATCGTGATCGCAATTTTTTTCAAGTATAGGAGTTGGGAATGGAGGCCGGGAACAAACGGCAACTGCTTCAACGAGACACGCCCGATCAAAGAATCATCGTATTGGGGCACCGGTTCCAATCTCGATATCATGGGAATCCTAGAAGACATTCTCGGACAACTAACAATCAATGTAACCGTGCTAAACATTACACAACTGTCTGAATTGAGAAAGGATGGCCATCCTTCGATCTATGGAGAACGAAAGGGCAAACTTTTGACTAAAGAACAAAAATTGGATCCAAAGAACTATGCCGACTGCATCCATTGGTGTTTACCGGGAGTTCCCGATACATGGAATGAAATTTTGTATGCACTTCTTCTACAAGACTATCGAGTTCATGTTCAATGACATGAGCTCGAGTCGCAAATCACCTTTATTCTTTCCCGATCAGGTATTTTTTGACGCCAATGAATGATGTAGAGTACTAATTCAAATTTTTAAGAAGAAATAAGAATGAAGAATTATTTTTGCCCAATTCTATTTTACTTTGTTCAAATTTAAAAACATTTACGATGTTTTAGTTATATTTTACTTTAAATATACATTTGATATTTTTTTTTCCTCGTAATATATATTTTCTCTATCTGCTTCTAAGGGTCACATTTACCTTATTGTAATTAACATTAAAAATGTGCTTATATTTGTATTTGTTTTTTTTTACAAATATTCTTCTATTGGTATTATAAGACATTAATAGAAGTATTTTTACAATCCTTTCTTAATTTATAGTACGTTTTAATATAATAATTAATATTCAAAAAGACCTTAGAGCTGGACATATGTAGTATCTTATACTCCCTCCGTCCCATGTAATATGTGTGTATTACCGTAGACACGAGAATTTAGGTAAAGTATAATTAGTAAGTAATTAAGAAGTGTATTAGTAAAAATAATTATTATTTAGTAAAAATAATTATAAATTAAGATTAAGATAAGTAAATAGTTTAATTAAAATTAAGAAAATTATAAAATTTAAAATGCGATTAAAGTGCATAATTATATTTCCAAAAATAGAAAGGACAAGTTATGTGGGACGGACGAAAATAGAAAATAGGAACAAATTATGTGGGACGGAGGGAGTATTATGTAATAAAAATAATTTCCACATATCGCATCTCTATTAGAGAAATAGAGGAGATTACGGCTAAGTCCTCAGGGATGGCTTAGTGATCGTGAGATTATGGATTCAAATTCGAAGATCTTATATGTTACACATGATTCACATAATATAATTTATTTTTTCGAATTTAATTTTTAAATTATTGAATTCGGTCAAAATTTATCCGCAGTGCACCTGAAAAATTGCAAGCTATTATACTCTGTTTAAGTTTAGAATCCAAATCCAATATTGCATTTGCATGGTGGTCTAACTTTAAACTTACTTCATTCATGCATGAATGTATGAATTAATTAATTACCCTTTCTTCGTACCCAAGCAAATTAAAGGGTGAAAATATTTTCCTAGGAGGTTATTCTCAATGCCCACTCAAATCTTTTGAGTTGTCTTCTCAATCCCCACTCAAAATTAAATTAGTTGGATCATCGATCATTCAGATTATCCTTAATTATCCAAAAACATAAATAAATAAAAATTTCTACATATTTCTTGAGAGAAAGGTCAATTTTTACCCATTTGTAGTTTCCAACATAATCATCATATTAATTGGTAAAAAGTCGCTGTAATTGGTAGTTGTAACAATTACTGCTCAAGCCCCTTATTACAAATACTTAACCACAAACCCCATTTGTACTTGGAAACAAATTTTCTATTCGATTCGATATTTGATTCGATTTTTAAAATTAATTCACTATGGCCTTTTACCACTCTTCCCTTACCTTAATTTGTCTGTTCTTCTCGACATTCACGATTATATACGCCAAAAGCAGACACGAGCACAAACATGAACACGAGCACAACCATAAACTTCGACAAGCCTACGTCGCGCTCCAAGCGTGGAAACACGTCATCTACTCGGACCCGTCGAACTTCACGTCGAATTGGCGCGGCCCGAACGTGTGCAACTACACGGGCGTGTACTGCGCGCCGTCAATCAACGACGCCGCCGTTTTAGTCGTCGCCGGGATCGACCTCAACCACGCCGACGTCGCGGGTCTCCTCCCCGACGAATTAGGCCTCCTCTCCGACCTCGCCTTGATACATCTAAACAGCAACCGATTCTGCGGGATCCTCCCGCGAACCATTTCGAAATTGTCGCTTCTCTTCGAGCTCGACCTCAGCAACAACCGATTCGTCGGGCCTTTCCCCGACGTCGTCCTCTCCCTCCCTTCCCTTCGCTACCTTGACATTCGATTCAACGAATTCGAGGGGCGGGTCCCGCCGCAGCTCTTCGGCGGCAAACTCGACGCCATATTCATCAACAACAATCGGTTCCAATCGACAATACCGCGGAGCATCGGCACCAGCTCGGCCTCGGTCGTCGTCTTCGCCAACAACCAGCTCGGTGGATGCCTCCCGCCGTCGATTTCGAAATTTGCTGACACTCTCGAAGAATTAGTTCTAATAAACACGAGTATCTCGGGATGCTTGCCCGTGGAGGTCGGATTTCTTTACAAGTTAAGAGTTCTCGACGTGAGCTTCAATCAAATTGTCGGCCCCATACCGTACTCGGTCGCCGGCTTGGCTCATCTCGAAAGATTGAACCTTGGGCACAACAAGATGAGCGGAATCGTGCCGGAGGGAGTCTGTGTTCTACCGAATCTTGTGAACTTTACGTTCGATTACAACTTCTTCTGCGAAGAAGAGGGGATTTGTGCGAATTTAAGTTCGAAAGGGATCGTGTTCGATGATCGGAGGAACTGTCTGCCGCGGAAGCCATTGCAGAGGAGGAAGAAGGAATGTGAAGCTCAGAAGCCTGTGGATTGCTTGGAGGATCGTTCTTGTTCATCTTCTTCCGCTGATTCTGATGTTCATCAACAAATTATTCCATTGTCTTCTTCGACTCCTCCTCCTCCATAAGGTCTGTAGTGTGTCTGTGTAAATGTTATGTAATATAGCCTGTCGAATGGGAGATGCAATAATGAAGTTAACTTCTGTATGTTTGTACATAGTGATGTTATACACGTAAATGGATATATTGGCATCGCAGCTGTTTGGGATTCGAAATTTGATATTGGAAAAATAGGATCCATGTAAATTAACTGAATAGATAATGAAAGGAATATACTTAAAAAATTTTACTAATGAAATTAATGGGCAAAAATTAAAGTTAATGTATGATTATTTTTTCTAAAATATGAAATAAGTACTTTTTTTGAGTGGGATTTCCGAAAATAGTACTTTGAGTTAAGATACTAATAATGCATATTTAGCGTATCTTTTTACTATTTTCGTATATAGTGCAAAAATATCAAAATTACTTTACATACAAGAAAAACCATTTAACATAGTTCCGACCCCAACACCTCCGGCCCATCTCAAAACGAAAAAGACGATGACGCTGGCGACGCACTCGTCGCCGGAAGCACGAACGCGGCCGGCTCAAGCTCGACACCATCATCCAAGAACCCCTTAAGAAACTTCGGCACAACACAAACTTCTGCCTCCGATAGACCCTCGAAAACGTGAACCACCCGCCCCATGCTCGGTCGATCCTTCTCGGCGTCCTGAATGCACCAACACGCCACTCTGCACACTCTCCCGACCTCTTCCACGTCGCCTCGACCCCCCAACCTCTCGTCAAGCAACCCCATCACATCGTCGCCCCGCGACACTCTGCTCGCCGCAACTGCCGGGAAGAATTCCCCTGACCCATCGCTCGACGCACCGCCCGTGTTTCGCCTCCCCGACACCATTTCTAGCAATAGCATGCCGTAGCTGAAGACATCCGCTTTCGTCGTAATTGGCTCATTCGACAGCCATTCGGGCGCGAGGTACCCTCGCGTTCCTCGCACAGTCGTCAAGACCCGGCTGAATTCTCGACCGAACAGCTTCGCTAGGCCGAAGTCACTGATTTTGGGATTCAGCTTGTCGTCGAGCAATATGTTCTCCGGTTTAATGTCGCAGTGGATTATACAGTCGCGGCACTTCTCATGGAGGTAAGATAATCCTCGAGCGATTCCGAGCGCGATCTTGTACCGTGTTGTCCAGTCGATTACATCCGTATCCTTCGAGAAGAGGACGCGTTCTAATGAACCGTTCGCCATGTAATCGAGTATGAGAAATCGATCGGAGCCACGGGTGCAGAATCCTCGGAGACGTACGAGGTTCACGTGTTGGATCGTGCCGAGAGTCGTGACTTCTGCCCGGAATTGCTTCTCATGATTCTTGCCTTGGTTTACACTCTTGAGTCGCTTCACCGCGACGACGATTGAATTCGAGAATGTCCCCTTGTAGACAAACCCGAAGCCCCCCTCGCCGAGCTTTTCGGAGAAATTCCTCGTCGCATTACGCAGATCGCGGTAATTGAACACCGTCAATGAATCCTCCCCCGACGGCCCGGCTGGGTTTCTCCGACGTCTTTTTAAAACGACGAAAATCACAATAACGACGATGACACAAAAACATCCTCCGATCGATCCAACAATAGTCCAAACACTCGAACTCTTTGATCGGACATCGCCATTGCTCGATCCCTGTTCGGACAACCCCGAAACCTTAACATAAACATCTTTCCCCGTCGAATCATCCGACGGGAGAAGCCGCAAGTTGCGAAATCCCCCGATCCAATGCAAGCACTGCCCATCATCAAACACCTGCGCAGTGCAGCTGCAATTTCTCAAACACAACAGCCTGCAATCTTCGGAATTTTCGACGGCTAAAACCACCGCATCCGACGGGAGGTGTACCCGCGACACGACGAAAAACGTGTCGCTACCCCCATCTCCGTCGCACTGCAACGGCCGGCTTCGAGCGCAGCCGTCGGTATGATCTTCCGACACCCAATTTTCGACGTCGACGGGCTCGAATCCTGGCAGGCATTCGCAATGCGGAGGCTTTTCGTCATTACAGCTGCTGAACTCCCCGCAAAGGGCATAAACCAGACACTGAGGATTCGGTCGGGACCAAAATTGAGTCCAATTGGTGGCACCTTGACCCCAAACGAATTGCTGCAGCTGCCCGGACGAGTCGATTAAGAAGCGGGTCAGGGCGCCGGGCACGCCGGGATCGTACGTGAAGAATCGTTCGTTTTGGTTCTCGACGTATCTCAGATTCTTGATGTAGAAATTGAGAACGATCTCCGGAATCAATTCGAAGAATTTTCCGTTCCACTCGCCGGTGCTCCAGTACAGCTTCGTGTCGTTCCACGTCAGCACGTGGCTGGTTCCGTTCGCCGCGACCCCGACGGAGAAGACGCTCGCCGCCGGATTCCTCGCGCTCCGCCATGGCCGGAGCTTCTGTTCAATTCCTTTCAGCTTGTTGTACCTGTCAGAATTTTTACAAGCAATAAAAATCGAAATTCTTGCAATTGCAAATATATATATATATGTATGTATGTATATTGTGAGTACCCAATTTTTCCGGCGGGAAGCCAGTGATCGGTGGGGTAGTCGAAGCTCTGCCACAGTGGCGGCGACGGATCGGCGGGGTTTCGATTTCGAACGACCAGGTTTCCGGTGTCGAGAAGCGTTGCCGCAACGGTCGAATTGGGCGGCGGTCGATTGGAATTTGTGGACCAAATTAGGTCGCCGGAGTCGCTGAGGAGAACTAGGTTTCCGTCGCGGCGGAGGTGGAGTCGGGAGGCGGCGGGATTCTTGAGGGGGTGGTGTCTGTTGGCGACCCAGACGACGACCTTGGTGGGAAGCGAGATAGTGTACCATATTCCGATGTAATAATTTCCTGATTTCTCCGGAGTGAAGAAGCCGAGCTCGAAAGTTCGGTTCGGGGAGGAGAGTGTGCGGTTGCCGGAGAGGAATTCGCCATGGCCGATGGAAAGGAAGGCATGGCAGATTGAGGAGGAAGTGAGGATGAGCAGAAAGAGTTCAGGTTTTTTTAGAGTCATTTGAATTTGATGTGTTTTAGTGAAGTGAGGACGACGGCCATTGAAGTTGCAGGAATTTATTTATATGAAGAAAATTATATGCGGAGTAATAAGTTTGTGGGTGTGATGTTTGAAGAGGGGTAGGTGAAGTCGACGACGAAGCAGCAGGCTAGTGGGAAGATAGGAGCATAAGACACATTTCCAACCCTATGCATTTATACAGTGGTGTACCAAAAATGCGGGAGGGTTCAACCCACCCCCAAATTCTCCCATTTTTGCAGTAATCAACAGTGTTATTCTATTTTTGGAGTAATATTTAGAGTGAAGTTTTTGTGGTACTTTTTTATATTTTTGGTATTTTTTGTATATTGTGTAATTTTAATTTTTTAATACATGATATATAATTTTATATTTTAAAAAATTGTGTGCAATTTTATTTTATTTTGAAAAATAATGAATAATTTTATTTTTTAAAAGTGATATAATTTTAGTTTTTGGAAAGTAATATATAATTTTATTTTTTAAATTGATATATAATTTTACTGTTTGAAAAGTGATATAATTTTTATTTTTTTAAAAGTGATATGTAATATAATTTTTATTTTTTTAAAAGTGATATGCAATTTTATTTTTTAAATTAACGTGTAATTTTACTTTGTAAAAAATTATGTTTAATTATTATGATCATATTTGTCTTGATAGCATTTAATTATTTATTTAAAACTATTTTATTTGTAATATTTATTAATTATAAATGTTAATTTTTATATATGTAATTTTTAAATAATTTATAAATTATATGTGTATGGATCTAATGTAAAAATAAATTAAAGTTGTGGTGTAATTTATATATATGAAAAGTTATATAAAATAATATAAAAGAGGAATACACAGAGAATATACTTTTTAGAGTAAAAATTGAAGTTTATGGTTATTGTAGATCACCTGCATTTGCATTTTTACTGTAGCAACTCCAAAAATGGAATGGAGGGTTGGAGATGGCCTGAGGATTGAAATTTTGGAGGATTTAGATTTAGATTGGGTGGACGAATTTAGGGTGTGTTTGTTTGGGGGATTGGATTAGATTTACACTATTCATCCAATTTTTTCTCCCCAAAAACATCAAATCAAAAATCTATTTTTTATTTTTTATATTATACTAAAAATCAATTTTACATTTAAAACATCACATCAACACCTATTTATATCATATCATACAACTATTCAAATTCAAAATTTTTACTATTCAAATCCCAACTCAAAATCCAAACTCCCAAACAAACACACCCTTAGGATAAATTAGTTTAATTTTGATATTAAAATTATATTTGATAAAAACATATTTAAAAACTATATACTCCCTCCGTCTGCTTACAAAGTTTACATGTTTCTATTTTGGGACGTTCAATTATAAAGTTTACATTTCATTAAATACCCTACTTTTTTTCCACAAATACACTTACTTTACATCACATCATTACTTTTACACAAAAAAATAAAGGCAAAAATGTCATTACACTACTTTTAACTATTCACTATAATTAAAATACTATTATTTCTTAAACACTGCGCCAAAAGTAAATGTAACCCTTGTAAATGGACGGAGGGGGTATTATATTAACGGTAGTTATCATCTAAGAGATTGTAAAATTCGTGTCAACGATATTCTTACTACTGAAATAGAGAATTTCTTTGAGATGATTTAGATTTAGATTGGGCCTACGAAAGAAATACACAAGTTTCTTAAATTTTTTAAAAATAATTATAATTCTTTTATAAGAAAAAATATATCAAAGTAACAATAATATGTATTAATAATATAATTCAAAACCTTAATTGTTCTATGACTTTAGTTTGTTCCGCTATCCGAAAATGTACATTTGGTAAACTTCGGCTGAACCTAATACCGTAAACTAATTCCGATAAAACATGTCACATTAGGCGAATTATATGTAGCATGAAGGCGTCGAAGGTTTAAACTTATGACCTCACGGTCACGGGATTTGTATTTATATATTTTGATGATACATTAATGTCCTTTTTTTATTTTTAATTTAACAATTTCTTAATTCTAATTCTAATTTGAGAATAAAACTAAATAAATTTGTAATTTCTAAAAATCAATTTTCACGTTGTATATATATTCATAATTAAATACAGTAATTTTAAAAATATTTAAATTATAATTTAAATTTATGTTTTTAATTAAATAAATATGAATACATAATTTAAAATCGAACATCCTATTAAATGTATCAACTTGTAACCAATTACGTTTGCTGTAGCCACAACTAAAGTATGGAGGTGCACTACATGTCCAACTTGTTTATATATATATTTACTCTCTTTCGACTGTCCCAAAATATTTATTTATTTTTAATAATCGTAATATTTACTTAATATTAAAAATATAATTTTGACGAAATTCATGGCAATTGAACATTTCTCGTTGTCAATAAACACTGCTCTGTGAGCTCTAGACGAAGACTCAGAGTCGTGGTCAACCTTAATTTTATTTTTTTCTTAACCAACCGTCAACGATTATGGGTGTGGGTGACTTTATTTGTATTTGAAATAGTTTTTTTTTTTTTTTTTTTTTATTATTATTCTTTTCTTTTAAATAATAAATATGATAATTGAAAAGATATTTAATATAATATTTTAAATAAAAATTCCTTTTAGAGCCCTTAATTTAAAAAATACTAACATTTCTTTTTTTTAGCATTAGTCAAGAATTGGGGGAGGCTCCAACCGACCCTCAAAATTTCTCCCATTTTTGCAGTCCGATACAGTGTTACTCTATTTTGAGGGTAACACTCTACACTCCATTCCATTTTTTAAGTGGAGTTTGTGTGGTATTTTGTGGTGTTTGTGTATTTTTGTTATTTTTTTTTTGGTATATTAAGTAATTTTATTTTTTTTAAAAATGATATGCAATTTTATTTTTTTGAAAAATTATGTATAATTTTACTTTTTTAAAAAATATATAATTTTCTTTTTTAAAAATAATGTATATTTTTTTTTTTAAAAAAAAAGTAATATATAATTTTATCTTTCAAAAAATATATATAATTATATAATTTTTTAAAAATAATGTGTAATTATATATGTGGGTTATATTGTAATAATAAATTAAAGTTTGAGTGTAATTTATAAATATAAAAGGTTATATAAAATAATATAAAAGAGGAATACATAGAGAATATACTTTTTAAAAGTGAAAAATTAAAGTTTATGGTTTGAGTAAAATTATCGTAGATCAACTGCATTGTTATCGTAGCTACTGCAAAAATGAAGAAATAGGTTGGAAATGGTCTTAGAAAAGAATTGTTTGTATTGGAAAGTGATCCTCATTCCTCATATCGTTCGATCAGAAAGTATACAGTTGTTTTTTATTGATATTTAAACATTAATTATTATATTAAAATATAGTACAAATTATAAAAAAAATGATAAAAATATATCTATTAGTCTCTTAATGCAAATTAAACTACTCTCTTTGTCACATAAAAATGATATTATTTTTCATTTTTTTCCGTCCCAAAATAAAGATATTATTTCTTAATTTAGTAATTGTACTACATATCTAACATAATAAATACTCTTACAGCTTCTAATATATTACATAAATGTTATTACTTTTGTATCACACAATCTAATAGAGACATTTTTGTCTTTTTCACTATAAACCAATATATACTAATATTAAAAAATTTACGTGTAAAAAATAAATGTTCCTCTTGTTTTGACTGAGGAAGTATATGCTTTTGTTTTTTATGATAATAATTTAGAAAATTTTGAAGTATATTTGTTTGGTATTAATAATTTTAGATATTCTTTTCAAAGATAAGTGAAATCATGAAAATACTGTAGAAAATATATTTTTTAGTATTAATAATTTTAGAGTGTAAACTTATTTAATATAATATTTTGGAAGAAGAATATATTTCTATTAAATAGCAAAATACATAAACAAAACTCTAAAATAAGATAGCCTAAACCAACCAACAATAAATGGCTTCTTTGACTAAAAATAGTCCTTTATGGAAAAATAAGGTTAAATAACGATGTAATAAAAAGTCAAATATTCTCTTGTTTAAATAAAATTTTATGTGAGGCTTATTTGTATCTTTTGCCAAGTTTTTTAAATTTTATTAATTTGATTTGTATTTTTTTAAAAATATATATATATTATTTTTCTCTTACAAAATATTTTATTAAACATTATTTTAATATCAAATACAATCTAATTTTTTTTCAAAATCAACCAAAAAGAAACATACCCTCAAGTTTAACTTTCAATATGTTTTGTGGGTTCGATTTATGTACTAATTGAATCATTTAAATTTGGTGTTAATTTTATTTAGTGAACACATACACAATAAGATAGCTAGTAGCACATATTTGAAAATATATAATAATACAATATTCAATACATATTCTAATAATAGAGTTTCATATAACATAATATATTACTCCCTTCGTCTCATATCTATATATCTATTTGCTTGCACGAAGTTTTAGAAATATTAGTATTATATTAGGATAAAGTAGAAATAAAGGTAAAAAAAAAAAACTAAATTAACCCTATTAGTATTATGTGATATAAAAATAATGATATTTGTGTAATATATTATAAATTGGAAGGATATTTGTAATGTTAGGCAGATGATACAATTACTACAAAAAGAAATTAATATTTTGTTATGGCACGGACCAAAATAAAAAAATAAATAAATTGTTAAGGAACGAAGGAGTATTATTTTCAACCGCTGGCAGCCGCTAGCTGCAGTTTTGCGGCTTTTTCCTTTTTTTAAATTTTTTTTTATTTAAATTAAAAAAAATACGGTATAATATGCATGGCCGTGAACAAATTCATGTAAAGTAATTATTTGATAATTATAATAATTATAGTTAAATAAAATATATACAATATATATGTCATTTGGTAGAGAATAAAATTTTTTATAATACCAAAAAATAAAATTTTAAAATATATATGTTTATATAATATAAATTCATAATCAAATCATACTATTATTAATTTTAAAACTTTAAATTTATTACACATTTATATTATTATGCTTATTACCCATCAAATCAACAAATATCAAATCTCTTTAAATCCAAACCAAACTTACATTGAAAAAAAAAAACACATAAATTCAAACATATTTTAAAATTAAAAAAATAAAAATAAAAACCAAACACTGATCCCAAATTTTCCAAAACCTCCGTGAGAAAACACACCAAAGTTTCTCTACTTGGCCTACACTATAAGGAAAATCACAAAGATAAAATCATTTGAAGCAATAAATTAAATTAAATTTATTACTCCCTCGTCCAACTAAATAATTTAAAAATGTATTATTAAAAATCATTATGATATAATTGTTGAATATATTTCACTAAAAAAAAAAAGAATGTGGTATCTCTCCTTAACTTATAAGGGTAAAGAGACTTCAGTTATTATCAATTGGTTTTAGGTTGGAGCTGGATCTCTTCTTAATAATAATAAAAATAATTAAATTAAAATTAAAATAACTAAATAATTAATTAAATATAAAAATTATAAATTATGAATTTTAAAATGTGATTAAAATGTATAATTATATTTCAATAGGTAGAAAAATAAACAAAATTAGTCAGAGTCAAGAAACATAAGAAGAAATCTTTTGTTGTTACTTAAAATAAAAGTTGACAATATTTGGCTGAGAGAATTCGATAAAGCCAAGCAGGAGCATATATCAAAATAAAGGTATCTTTGATTGAGTTTTAGCCATTTTTTTTTTAAAAAAAAAAAAGGAAAAAGTTTAGATTATATATAAAGTTATTTAATAGTATAATATAATATAATATAAATATTCAATTTAATATTTTGAATAATTATATATATATATAATCTATTAAATAACTTGAAAAAAATGTATTTTTATATGAATATTGAAAATATATTAAAAATTGAAAAAAAATGAAATGAAATGAAAGACAGCCAAACAAATTAATAATAATAATAATAATAATAATAATAGTAATAATAATAAGCAAGTGGTGCATAATATATGGGAAGAAATTTAAGAGGTTGACAATAGTGGGGCACTTTAGTGAAGGTGGATGTGTGTAATAACTTTGGTTGTTGGATTTATTTGTAGGAAATGAAATAAAATGAAATGATACATCTGTCTTGTGAGCCTAATCAATACCAAAAAAAAAAAAAAAAAAAAATAGAGCTAGAAAAAAAAAAAAATATATATATATATATATAAAATGATTTTCAAATTTGTCTAAATAAATAAAAGAAAATTTTGAATTAGAATCGAAAACAGAATCCGTTTTCATTCTCAATGAATTAAAATGACTTGCTCTCTTATAATAGAGTTAGAGTTAGAAAATAAAATTTGCTCGCTTAACGGAGTTATAATCAAATACAAGATTTTCAATATAGTTAGAGTTGTAAAGAGAATTATGTCAGTAGAGATCAAACAATGGTTAGACATCTCTTGTTTGAAGACTAGGTGTTGAGTTTATTCCTCTGGGTCAGTATTTCATTAATTATTATATAAAAACTTTCATTTCATTTAGGGTGTGTTTGTTTTTGGGGTTTAGATTTTAAGTTGAGATTTGAATAGTAAAAGTTTTGAATTTGAATAATTGTATGATATGATATAAATAGGGGTTGACGTGATGTTTTTAATATAATATAAAAAATAAAAAATAAATGTTCAATTTAATACTTTTGAGGGAAATAAATGGGATCAACAGTAGATTTCAAATCCAATCCCCGAAACAAACACAACCACTAGATATTTTAGCTGGAAAATAAGCATTTGAACTTAAAATAAGCTCAAATAAATTTTTGGGCTGGGCTAGTACTGTTGAAAATTTGGGCCGTGTTTGGGCCTGTGCAAATTGGATCATGCTTGGTCCAGCACAATTTAACAAATATTATAAATATATAAAAAGTAAAAATGTTATATATATTTAATGTTAAATTTTTTAATTATAATAAAAATAATTTAGTTTATTTTTAATAAAAAGTTTTGTAATACATTTTTTTTTTAAAAAAAAAATATAGAAATTAGGTTGATTTGACTGGCTCAACACGATTTTAACCGGTCATTCTTGAGTTTAAGCTTTCAAGCCCAATTGTAAAATGGGCCGGGCCAATCCAATATGAAATAAAAATTATTTGGCCCAACTCAAAATTGCTACCTCTTATCTTGACGTCACTTTAACTATTCTCCAACTCTCCCAGTCAGTTAGGGGTGGCTAAAAAAATCGAATAGAACTGGAATCAAATTTTCGACTAATCGAGCAAATCGGGTTCGAATATAAATGCTACATATTTAATATTTATTCGGTTCGATTCGGTTTGGATTTTTGATATTTTTTTCGGTTCGGTTAACTGAACCGAATATATTTATATATTTATATTACTTCATCCGTTCCATAATTAGGTATCCGTTTGCTTTTTGCACGAAATTTAAAAATATTAGTATTATATTGGAATTTCGTAGGAATAAAGTAGAAAATACTAAAATAACATTATTAGTATTGTGTGATATAAAGGTAATGATATTTGTGTAATATATTGTAAATTGTATTATATTTGTAATGTTAGGTAGATAGTACAGTTAAAAAGGAAATGAATACTTTCTTAGCAGACTAAAATGAAAAAATAGATAGTTTGTTATGAGACAGAAGAAGTATTATATCTTAAAATTTATATTAAAAATTATATTCGGTTTGGTTTCGATTCGGTTTCGGTTTGGATATTTGAAATATTTGCAAATGTTTTTATTTAATTAGAATTTTAATGATTTTTTAATATATATTTTTTAAATTTCGATTCGATTTGAATTATTTGCAAATATTGCAAATATTTTCGGTTAACCAAAATTTTCATTAGGATACGGTTCACAGTTTTGAGTATTTATTCGGTTCGATTCAGATATTAAATACTTGTATATTTGTAAATATCCGAACCGTGCCCACCTCTAGCAGCAGTCCTGTATATTTCAAGTTAATTAATTCGTCTTCTTATGCTGTGTTTGTTTGGGAGATTCATCTCATTTTTTTTTTCCTCAAAACTTCAAATCAAACCCTATTTTTTATTTTTTATATTATATTAAAAATTAATTTTACATTTAAAAAATCACATCAATACCTCTTTATATCACATCATACAACTATTCAAATTCTAATTTTTTACTATTCAAAAGTCAAAATCCAAACCCCCAAACATTCTTCCACAAAATTCTACCAACCATTGTCGTCACTCATTAGCGCTTGAAAAATAAATAAATAAAAATTTTAAAACAAAATAAATATTATTTAAATAAAAAATTTAAACCTTCAAATTCTATTAAGACCGAAGTGGAACAGTCATTAATTCATCATACCTTGTACTTGATATATATGTGTAACACAAACGAATTGCAATTTGCTTGTGTACATACATCAATAATAATAATAATAATAATAATAATAATAATAATAATAATAATAATGGGTTAATTAATATATATATATATATATATAAATATGCTATGATTGAAGAAGTGCAGCTTTAGAAATGGCATCGAAGGCGTACTCTATGCAGGACTTGAACTTATTTGGATCCATAAAACCCTTTTCCATATTCAGTGCAATTCTAAGCTTTCCCACGTAACTTATCATAGTTACTGACAGGCTCTGCATATACCAAATTAATTAATCAATTTCTATCAAATAAGATTCAAATTAAAACTAAATTAGAATTAGGTAAAATTGCCGATAACTTCGGTGTTATTTCAAAATTCAACATAATTTTTTTTTTACTTTAAAAATTGCTAACAAAATTCCTCTTGTGGTTTCAAAAAATATAGATGAAATGTTATTTTCTCATCATACAAATTTTTTTTTTTTTCTTTTCTTTTAATATAAAGAGTCTTATGCAATTTTTAAAGTATAAAATTTCGAAATTATAGAAGAATTATTACCAATTTTACGTTAATATTAAAATAAATTAATACATATATACCTGGGGTGGCCCAGCCACGATGAAATACAATCCCTTAACAGGTTGGTTGGCTAATGCCATTTGTTCGACAGGCCCTATCAGATTCGATATTGCCATGCTCGTGTTCTTTAAGGTCCCGTGGATATATTTTGCTGTTGCCTGCACTTAGCACAATATATATATATATATTGAATTTAATTTTATCGGAACTATATATGAATTTTTTTTTTCGATGACATAAAAATCTACAACCGCTACCCGAAAAACCGAGGAAACCCATTCAGTCAATCAGAATGAGATTGTTGTGTAAGAAAAAAAGATGGATTATAAATCAGACCAAGACACTTATTAATATGATAATTATTGATGCTTACGTGTCCCCAACCTTGACTCTTACTCAACTTCTTTGTTAATTACATTATGGCCCACATTGCCCACAATTTATTTTCTTCCAAATTGACCACTCCAAATTCCCAAAATTGAACAATTCATTTCATAATATTACAATCAAACAAAAAGAAAGAAAGATAGAGGAATTAGAAGTGTGATTGGTTGTTATTTTCCCTTCCCTAATCCCTAAATAATAATTCAACTCTATCCATCCAACTAATTTCATACATATATATTAAGACTCAAATTATATGAGGTTGTCTGCATGAAAACTAAAAAATAATATTCTTTCCATCCTATTTTTAATGTATTATTTTGAAATTTTATAGTAGATTAAAAAAATAATAGTATTTTATTAATTAATTGAAAGAATTTTTTGATATTTTTGTTTTTTTTTACTTTATGTATAAAATAATTGTCTGTATAATTATATATTTATAATTTAAGTAAACATATAGTTTGATATTAATATATGATTACTTTTATTAAAAAATAAATTAATATTTTTGAGTACAACATGTGAAATTGGTAAAAATTATAATTTGAGTTGTAATTAATGAAAGAAATAATATTCTATACAAAGTAGAATAAGTAAGTAGAGATATTATGAAAAAAAATTACAAAATAATTATTATATACGAAAGTAGGATTAATAAGATTATAAATGAAAAAAATATTTTATTATAAATAAAATGCACATAAATTTAACGAACAGTAAAAAAAAATGCATATTTTTGACAAACAGATCAAATAGCATAATAATAATTTTTTAAAAATTAATTAGTTAAGAACATACCTCGGGTCCTTTGAATTTGCTAATAATATTAAGAAGTTGGCCGGTCAAGAACACGGAGCCAGAGTTTCTCTGGCGCTTAATTATCCGGTGAGACTTTTTAACAAATACGAGAGGATTCTGTATTTCCTCTGGAGTAAGTTTAGGAAGAGGAACAGGTAAGAATGTAAATCGATTCCCCCATGGCATGTCAGAATCGGGTCGAACCATTTCATCCACGGATCTATAGCCCCCGATGGCCCTCGTATTCAATAGCACTAAGGCTGTTGATTTCGAATTGCCCGATCCTTCGCTTGTTTTTTGCATGTATAGGCGAGTCCCAAATATAATTATGCCCGTAATCACGTCATTAATAGTCTACATATATGTACAAATTTAAATAGGGACATTAGAATATGTACACATATATATATATCTATTATAACAACATGGATGAATTCGAATTAGGGCATGAAATAGTTTGACAAAGAAGACATCGTCATTCTTATCCACGTTTACTATATGTTTTTTTTCTATTTATTTTTAATATATATATATATATTTCTAAATTTATGATAATTTTGAAAACTCAATGGCTTATTATGAGGTTGGTAGTTGAGCATGCATACCGACAAGGGCTACCATAAAATTATTCCCATGATAATTATATGTATATATATATATATATATTAATTGAAGCTGTTCTTTTCCATTGCTGAATTATTGAATAAAAAGTACATATATAATATACGTAGACTGATGGCCTAGACAACGTATGTTAGTCGAACTCTCTTCATTATTTATTATTATTATTATTATTATTATTATTTATATAACGTGGAAATCTGTACAATAGTATGAGTTAAATTAGAATGATCGAAATATTTTTCTTAATATTTTGAAATTTAAGTATTTTCTAAAATTAATAATCTGATCAAATTATATGTAAAACCATCTACTACTGGGGTAGAAAACAATTAAAAGAAGGAATTTTTCAATAAATGTTTATCATTTTAATGTTAATAAATTCTACTTGAAAGTAATGATATATATTTTAATGACTTATCTGTATTCTAAATATTCTAATTTGGTATATATATAATATCTTAAGAATTTGATTATTGCCAAAAATAAACAAAACGACATACCACGTTGAGCTTGTTCTTGATTTGCTTGATCTGATCAATCGAAAAAGTGGTGGTGGCGGTGGCGATCGGCCGGAGCTCCACAGCGTCTTCGCCGGACCTAATCGGCGACTTATCATCCTCATTAAGACTACTCTTCAGAAGGCTCCACCCGAAGTCATACACGGTGTGCCAAATCCCTGAGAACAGCCGCGGAACTCGCCGGAGGACCGATTTCCGGCGATCGGCGTCCGCCGCCGACTGCCGCGACGGGAAAGTGAGCGGCAACAAGGGGTTGTCGAGCCTCTGGAGGCAGGACAGGAGGGCGCCCATGAGGGAGTAGCCGTCGCCGAGGGAATGGTGGAGCTTGAAAATTAGGTTTCCGGCGGCGTGCCGCGTCGGATACTTAACGATGTGAATCTCCCAGAGCGGCCGCGACGGCGGGAGCTGCTCCGTCGACAGGTTCGAGAGGTAGTCGGCGAAGCAATCGTCGTAGTACTCCGCCGCCATCCCGTCGGGGAAGATCGGCACCTTCACGTGCTCCTCCACGTGCACCTCTACCTTCTTCCATTTCTTCACCCCCTTCTTCCCCGCCACCTGTCCAATGTCCGTACACAAATCCACCATTAGGGTTCATCCTCCTTGCAATTTTTTTTTTTTTTTTAATTCTTATTTTATTTGCAGTTTCTCAATTTCCATACTCTTCCCAAATCAAATCAAATGGCTCTTTTAGAGTTTTGTAATAGATTAAAACAATAAAAGTATTTTGTCCTCCCTCCCAAATCAAAGAAGTCTTTTAAAATTTTATAATAGATTAGCAAATAATAGTATTTTGTGATTGTGTAAGAGGTTTTTATATTTTTGCCTTTATATAGAAAGTAATTGCATGTGTAACGATATATTTATAATTTATGTATAAATTAAAAGGTATTTTAATATTAGTGTATAATTATTTCTTTTAAAATAAAAAAGATATTTGAAGTGAAACAGAAGAAAATGGTAAAAATAGTACTTTAGGACAGAAAAAATATAAAATATCACATTAAATTATTATTTTATTTAAAAAACCAATAGCATTATGTCATTTTCTTATCATGTAATCATGCCATTCACCATAAAATTATACTACTATAAATTTCTCTGTACAAAATATCATATCCAACAATTCTTTTACTTAAAAAAAACAATAAAATTTTAGATTGTCTTTCTTTAGCAAAAGTTGATCGATTTTTACTATTTGAACTTTACATTTTCAAATAAATACAATCGAATCTTCTCGATCCAATCAAATCCAAAGAAACACACTTAACTAAAACACAAAGAACATATATATTTATATATATGTATATGTATACGAACCATGATGGAGGAGAAACGAGGATTGATTGGCAAGAAAACATCTTTGACGAGGGAGATGGCCAAGGAATCATCAATGGGACCTTGGCATTCCAAAACTCCAAGAATGGTTAGGGACAACACAGAACTTTTCAAGTACTGAGCACTAGGGCTCATGGGCTCCAGCCCTAATTCTTCTTCTTCTTCTTCCTGCTGCTGCTGCTGCTGCACCTCAACTTTCATATTATTAATTCTATATATCTCTGAATTTAATATGTACCTATGTTTTGTTGTGCCTCCACTCCACTGTTTATTAATTTGGATAGATCTAGCTACAGATACACATACATATAGATTATATAGGTGGAAGGGGTACTGTGAGATTGATGACTTGGCATGCAAAAGCCCACTAATTATATATATATATAAAATAATTAATTGAAAATTAGTCGTGATAGTTGGTAGAATTATGTCACATTCGAACAATTAACTTAGGCTGCTAAAAAAGATTGTAAGGTGGCCAAAACCAGGAAAAAGATGATTATTCCACGCAATTGATTGTTGTTAAATGTGAAAGAAAGTTGAGAGACAAAAGACAAGAAGTAAGATTGCATAAAGATTTATAAATATTGGGACCCACAACCTTTTAAATTTTTTTTTTTTTTAAAAAAAAAATTATATATCAATATAAATATACACACCATAGATTGTGTCTTGTTTATTTAAAATTTAAATTAATTTTTTTTATAAAATATTATACCCAATATTATTTAAATACAAAATTTTAATTTTAATCTTTCAGAGTATTTTTAAAAAATAAAAATAAAAATGATTGAAGATGGGCATGATTTAATAATTTTATGTATTTATTTATTTTTCCTTATCATTCACATCACAAGTCGTCCGTTTGGACTGAGCACCAACAGCAATATAATGTAGTTATGGTTGGGACATTGTTTCATATTAATTACTTTGATGATAAATGGATGGATGGATGGAACTTCTCCAATATGACAAATTATTCTTCTTAAATTTCATGACATTTTCTACAACTTGTTATATATATATATGGTCCTTCCAAAAATAAAAAGTAAATTAAAAAATTGATACAAAAAAATAAAAATATTTTAAAAAATATATTAGTGAGTTAATAAAGTAATTAAAAATTTAAAAAGTATAGATTAAGAGTGTGTAAGAATTTTTATGTTATAAATGAAAAGTAAATATTTTTTCTATCTCAACTCACTGTATTTTATTTGTCTCTCGAAAGTATATATTTTTTAGTCCAATAAAAGTAATTTATATATAAATATTAAAATATTTCTAACTATTACAAAAATATTTGTTTTTCTATTTATAAAGATAAAATTGTCAAAATATCTTATCGTGTGATTATTTAGGCTGGTTTGGAGAAATTTGGGTTTGAGTTTGGTTTTTATTTGAATTTTAGGATAAGTTTGAGTTTATTTGTTTATTTTGTGTTTGGGTTTGGTTTGAGTTTTGAGATATATTGATTTGGAGAGGGCAAAATGTTTATAATTTATTTAATTTATTTAATATTTAGCTAATAAATTTATAATTTTATAATGTAATACTACTAGATTTTATCCTTTTTTTTTTATTTTTATGTTGAAAAAATTATTCAATTAGCGCAAGACATACCAAAAATTTGTAATGCTATAATTTATTTAGTTTGTCTGTTTATTTTATAATTTAGAATCGGGTAAATTGTTGTTTTTAGTCGTGATTCATTTTATCATTTTAGAATTTTAAATGAATTTTGTTTAAAAATAATTTTACAAATAAATTTTTTTCGCTAAAATAGTTTTATGGTGTCGGATTCGTTGCGCTGGCCCACCGTAAGTGCACACTGGGTAAACTTCCGACCGGATGGATCTCTTTGATTAGGTGTGTTTTTGTGAAAAGAGCTAACATATTTTTCTTAAAAAATTACAATATTACACACATTTATTATTTTATATTATCTACATAATTTCTTATAATTTCACATAAAAAAAAAAATTCTCTCCAAATCAAAACACAAAACAATCAAACCCCAAGTTTCCTTGCCATTATATTCTTAACTATTCTTATTATTTTTTCGTTTAAATTTTCTTAAAATAGAATTCATTTTATCAGCTCCGGCACCCAACGTTTTTAGATGAAATTATTTTTAGCGTGGTACGGAAATTATCTTAAAAATATAAAAAAAATATATTATTTTAAATTGAATATTTGTGGTAATAAATTTTTAACTTTTTATAATGAGTATTTAATTTTTTTTTTTTTTTATTATGTTTGAAGAATCGTAATTGAAAAATGATGTTGAAAGAATAGAAAGGTTTATTTCTATCACTCTACTTATTAAAGTAATATCTTTATGTTCGTTCCAAATGCAAGTTTGCTTGATTTTAATTTAAATTTAAATTTAAATTTTAATAGTATCTTGATAAAATATTTTATAAAAAAAATATATTTTTATTGAAATTTGTACTGACTAATAATACTATTAATTTTACTTTTGAGAGAAAAAACCAAACAAACTAAAATATACTAATATTTATTTATTTATATATTATATATATTTTTTTACAAAATAAATATTTATATTAAATATTAATTATTATATCAAAATATAATACATATCAGAGGAAAAATGACAAAAATATTATAATACTAATAGAAATACATTTGTATAAAAAGTTATATAAATATATAGATATTTTTTAATATTAACTACAACGATGTAAAAGGTAAATATAACACTTAGAGACGGATGGAGAGAGTATCCGATTTTGAATGTAATTTTAATTTTTTTTTATAATATTACATAAAAAGAAATAACTATTTAATTTAATAACTCTGAAGTTTATTTTATTTCATTTATTTATTTTTATTTTTTTTATGAATGGTGCAAAAAATGCCAAACTTTAAATAAGTCGAGCCATAATTATTATTTTATTTATTTTTTATTTATTTATTTTTTTCTAATATGCAAATTGTCACTGCCTCAAGATTTGGGTTGGGGGCATTGTTATATTACAAGTTTTCTTGCCGAAATGAACAAACACAATATTGTAATATTGGAGGGTAAGGATTTATCAATAATTCAAACCTTCACATGACTTGTCCATATGTATAAATTAAATTCAACTTAAAAAATTCTAGGGATATAATATTTTATTTTATTTTATGTTGTCTGTAAATTTTCGTCCATTTAATATTTATGCTCAGAGATGGATTAATGCTTAACTCAACCACCACACATATACAGATGTATACATATATATTATATATATATATATATATACACAGAGACGAAACTACGTGACCCCCAAGCCAAATTTTTTATAATTTTTTTAGTATTAAAAATATTAATTTTTATGTATTTATATACAATTTGCCTCCTTTAAAAAAAAACTATCTAAATTTATATATAAATTTGTCATTATTATTTATTTAAATTTATTAACTAAATATTAAATAAATTATAACATTTTGCCCCGTCCGAAATTTAGATGCTAATTTCGTTACTATATATATATATATATTTAATAAAAGAGGTAAATAGGTAAGAACGCTTTAGCCTTGACTAGATGCAGCTGTTGAGCTGAATAATATTGATATATAATTTAGATTAGACAATTGTTATTTGGATATATATTTATTTTATAATTCATCTATAAATATGTCTATGATTTTCACTACTTTGATAGAAGTCTTTTTTAATTTATCTCTAATTCCAATGTAGTATCAGAGTAACCATCGAAAAAAATAGAGCCAGTAATTGGTCGATTTGTGTCGGGTTGAATACTTTAAACGGGTTAAATTACTAAATTCTAATTCAATCAGTTTATTATCGTGTCGGGTTCGTGTTGATCCGTTTATTATCGTGTCGGGTTCGAGTTGACTCGTGTTAACCCGTACACATAATTAAGTCGAATTTATTGATTCAAATTAAATAATTTTTTGTTGTGTTATGTTAGTTTTTATTGGTTTGAGCGTAAATTAAATTGAATTATTTAAAATTGAACTTAGTTTAAATTAATTTATGAGAAAATTAATAAATTATGATTATTTTATATATATAATAAATATATTAATCAATATTAATATATTATAATCGAGTTGTCGTGTCTAGTTCGAGTTGAGAGTCTCAACTCTAACCCGACCCGTTTATTATCGTGTCGGATTCGTGTCAACCCGTATACATAATCAGGTTAAAATATTTGACCCAAATTCAATTATTTTGTATCGGATCGTATCGAGTTGTCGCGTCGGATAAATTTTTACCAGCTTTAAGAAAAAGTAATAAGGATGTCAAGAGTCTTATCTCACGTGGGAGACCAAACAAATCATAATTTCCTTAAATATATTGTGGTTTCATTTATTGTAAATGGATTAATTGAGATTGGATTGGTTTGGGCCTTGAGTTTGGGCTTGGCGTAACATTGGGTTTGATTATTTTAAATAAGTAAAAATGAGCCTTGGGCCGTGAGGCATCGTGGGTTAAGCTCAATTGAATTAAAATTAAATTTTTATGATTAATTAATCAATTGCAACGCGTGGAGGAAAGTTATGGATTTTGTGGCTTAATACATCGGCAACTTTTACTACAAAACCGTCAAATATACGAATAATCTTCCTCTCTAACAAGAAGGTAAAAACTAAACCTATTACTACATAGGATTAGAGTTTTTTCTCTTTTGATAAAAAATTGGGCTTAACCCACGAATTAAACTCCAAAAAAGAGTTTTTCTCTTTTGATTTGTAACTCCCTTGACTTTCCAAATCGATGCAAACATACGCTCTGTTTTCGCAATACATTTTCACTCATTTGACATTATTTATTTTTTAAAAATATTAAATCAAATATATTTTTTTTCTCATAAAATATCAAATCAAATACTAATTTTTTACTTTTTCCAAAACTTTCAAATTTCCAAAATCCTCCAAAAATTCCTATATAAACAAAATGGAGTTCTTTTCGCCTTTGTATTGCTATGGTCTATTTGTGCCGTTAAAGACCTCTTCCAACTCAGCACAATAAAACAAGTAATGAGGATAGTCAAGCGGCCAGATAAACAATTCGATCCGTTCATCCTATATTTTTAAATGAATTAATTTTTTATGTGTAGTATGAGAAATTGTATTAAAAATATAAAATATATTACTTTAAGTTGATTATTTGTAATAAAGATATTGAATGATTTTATTATTTTTTTATTACTTTAAATAGTTACGAACGATAATAAGAAAAATTTATGGTTGTTTTCGTTACTTATGGTATGATATTTGATTTTAAAAATTCACAGAAATATACAATGACAATATCTGTAATAATTTAAAAT